GGTGGAGGCTTCAGCTGGGTCGGCAGTAGCGCCTGATGCCACGCCTGCGGTGGCTGGCCGTTCCACTGGTTGTAGGATTGGGTCAGTGACACGGGCGGAGGCTTCCTGGCTGCTGGACCGCGCAATGGCGCTGGTGAGGCTGCCGTCGCTGCTGCCCCTGGCTGCGGCCCATGCACCTGATCTTCTGGAGGAGGATGGCTCGGTGGTGCCGGAGGCCACTGGACTGCTGCTGCAGCTGCGTTCCACGGGACAGGCCCAGGCTTCGGCTGCGCCGCCGCCGCTTCTTGAGTTAGTGCGCCCGTCGGCCCGACTGCCGGAGGAGGGCCGAGAGGCTCTGGATCGTGCAGTGGCTGGGGCGGTAGGGCTTGACCGAGCCCGGCTGCGACAGCTGCTGTCGTGGCCTCTTGCTGACCACTCGATGCGCCCGGCTCTGCCGAGCTGATGGAGATGCTGTCGTCCGCGACGCTGTTGAGTGCCGCCTCGCGCCGAGCGAGGAACTTCTCCGTCGCCTCCTGTGCTGCCCGCTTGCCCTCTGAGTTCTTCTTGCCTGCCGCCGCAAGGCGGATCGCGACTGCCAGCGCAAGAAGGCGGGCCATCATCGCTCGTATGGATAGGTGAATCGTGGAGGTCGGTCTCGTCGCTGGCTGACGAGATATCTCTGAGTCACTTAGCCTGGCTCGAGCCAAAATAGGCCACGGAACGAGGACGGCTCGGAATCTCTGAACGCGGGCCCTGGCGACAGCTCGAAAGCTCCGAGACCTCCTTAGTGTCATTGTCGTTCTGGATCGTATCCTTAGCTTTCCCCCCGGATATAAAGGCCCGGACTGACTTATGAGGCGAGTGCTGAGCCCGTGACTCTTCTGTTCGAGCATGTGTTCCCAATCGGTGCCGCGAGAGACCAGGTGGCACTGAAGCGCTGCACGCCGTCACCGACGGCTGTGAGAAGAAGAGATCTCTGCGAAGCCGCTTCGAGGCGTGTTCGCATTCGGCACGGGTGGAGGAATGAGGATGCCGCCGCCGCCGCTGCTGCTGCTGGCTGCGGCCTCGGCCATGGTCTCACGCACGACTCCTGCCACCATCTGCTTCAGCTGCTCCGTAAAGAGGGTGACCGCTCCTGCCTCAGCTCCCGGCGTGCCTCGCACGCCCTCCTCGCCGATGGCTGGGATCACCGCTGCCGTGAACTCCTCTGCGGACATCTCGCAGTTCGCGCCGCCCGTCGGCGCGAGCCCGGCCTGCCGGAGGCGCGCGAACGGTGACCGACCTCGACCTTCACAGTCGGTCGTCACCGCCCATGGCTCTCCAGCTGGACCAGGTTCCGCTACCAACTGTGGCAGCAGCAAGGCACGCAGATGCTTTTCCCTTGAGCCAAAGCGTCAAGTTACGAGAGACGCTCTGGAGTGATAAACTACATGCAAAACCTATATCGTGAAATCTGCTCTCCTGTTACACCCCCCCTCTCCGCCCTTTCGCTCCCCGAGCCGCCTCTCCCAATGCCAGCGCCGACCCGAGCACTTGCCGCATCTGCGCCCCATCAGCTGCGCAAGGGGGGGCGCCAAGCGCACGAGCGCAGTGAGCGAACGAAGGTCGTTGCCTCCGCTGTGGTCCCGTCTGGACCGGGCGGGCACGGAGAGGCCGCTCTCGATCGCAGGACTCACTGGAATAGGGCACGAGGACGACGCGCTCCAGAGATGGCTCTGCGCGTAGCCCCCGCCCCCTGCCCTTCCCCTCGGGGCCTTCCACCAGGACGGAATCTTCATCCTGAGCCGTCTTCTGCCAGTCCCCCTGGCCCGTGTTTGGACGCCCGAAATGGGTACGGAAAGAATAAGCACAATGCCCAGCAACAAATGCTGTCCCAAACCAACAGCGGCCGCTGTTGGGCAAGCGACCTCCTGTCTCCAATGGACACGGGCCTCGGCGGCGCGGACAGCGAGTCCCGCTCAAAAGGAACAGGAACTGCTGCTGCGCATTGTGCCCATTCTCTCCGTGCCCATCCCGTTCGTGCAGACCGTGGAGGGCCCCGAGGGCCCGAGAACGGCAGAACCTCAGGGCCCGCCTCCCTCGGGACCCCAGACCGTGGAGGGCCCCGAGGGCCCGAGAACGGCGAGAAAACCTCAGGGCCCGCCTCCCTGCAGGACCCGCTCCCCCCTCCGCTGACCCGCGCCCTCTCCTCGACGCCCCGCCGCGCCCAGAGAGCCGCGCCCGAGGGGCGGCTGCCGGCGGGAGGCGCCGCCGCTCCCTCGCTCGCCCCGCGGGGGCCAGGGTACAGCAAGGGCCTCCCCCTGCCCCTCTTCCTGGTCTTCTCCCCCCTCTGGGACGCACAAGGACATACCTAGTACTAAGTCGGGCGTGTCCCCCATATAGGGGGATGTTCGACGAAGAATAAAAAATACTCAAACAATACTCCAAAATGATCAAAAAGTAATCGAAAAATGGTCCCCTGGCTATTGTTTGACTATTCTTGAATATTCCCCATGTAGAGGGACAGGCCCGGCTTAATACTAGTACTGCATGTCCCCCTTGGAGGCGTGCGTCCGACCCGGATGAATCTAGTGTATCGCCGTCTTCCAGTGCACAGTCAAACACCCTAATAAGGACGCGCGGTAAGGACGCAAGACCCTTGGAAGCCGAAGTTGGGATTTCTGGGGCGGCGGACGACGACGACCCCAAGGACGCAAGAGCAAGGAAAAGCAAGGACGCAAGGCTAGCCAGAGCAAAGTCGCGCGTCCTTATTGGGGTTTCCTGACTGCATCGCTTCCCGAGCGGCAGGGCCAGGAGGCGCCCGCCACGGAGCTTACAATGCAAGAGATTTCGAGGTGCGCGCTTCGCCCCCTGGGGGGGGGGTCGACGCACGCATTGCATTGCAGTCGTGCCTATGACAGAAGAACATCCTTGCAGAGCATGCGACCCTGTGCCGGCCAAACTGAAGTACGCTCGAGGGTAGCCTCCCCCAGGATGCTCAAGAACATCCAATGCACACGAGGAATATCAGGGTACCTCACCGAACCGACTTCGATCTTAGACCTCGGTCCGACCGTGGTGTGTCGGGGTGACGCTGGCCCTTCCCCGTCCTCGCCTCTGCGACGCAGGAATCCCTCGCCTGGGAACCGACGTCCTGGCGCCCGAGCAGGCGGTGGAGATGGATACATATATATATATATATATACAGTTGTACATATAGACATGTGCATATATACATATATATACACATATATACATATATATATATATATATATATATATATATGCATACATACATACATACATACATACATACATACATACATACATACATACATACATACATACATACATACATACATACATACATACATACATACATACATACATACATACATACATACATACATACATACATACATACATACATACATACATACATACATACACACATACAACACATACACACATACATACATACATACATACATACATACATACACACATACATACATACATACATACATACATACATACATACATACATACATACATACACATACACACACATACCTACACACACATACATACATACATACATACACACATACACACATACACACATACACACATACACACATACACACATACACACATACACACATACATACATACATACATACATGCATACATACATACTTGCATACATACATACATACATGCATACATACATACATACAGACAGACAGACAGACAGACAGACATACATATAAACATGTATATATATGTATTTATGTGTATATATATATATATGTATATATATACATATATATATATGCGCGGGCCCGCGGGGGCTGGAATCTGTCCATAACCACCGCCTGTGGCGGTCCGCCGAGATCGGCTCTCCAGGCAAGGGTGACGTGCAGAATTCGCGCCTCAGATGCCTCCCCGTCCACTGCCCAGGCCATGCCGAGGAGGGTCACCACTGAGGGGGCCGCCGGCTCCTCTGGGAAGCGGCCCTCCCCGGGACCCCCCCTCCCCAGGGCTCTCGAGGATGCCCCGAGCCGTCCGCAAGCTGATGGACGCTCGATATCCTCCATGAGCACCCCTCCCCCTCATCCTGGACCCTCGGCTTCCCCCGCTCCCCCCAGGACTCTCGAGAAAGCTCCCAAACCGTCCCAAACCTCATCGAAGTCGATCCTCACACGAGCACCCCTCGCCATCCTGGACCCTCGCCTTCCCCCGCGCAAGGGAGAGGGGTCCCGCGCCGCTCCAAGGATTCCGCGCGGACCTCCAAAAGTGCATGCTTATGCTGCTGTTTGCTCTTCGGCACTGCCCGAACCACTGACGGGCAACGAGAGGGGGGACTGGGCACATCGACCTGAGATCGGCAATCCATCGCCGATAGATCGGCGATAGGCCCCCGTTAGCGAATACGCACGCTCCTGGCCAGGGCGGGGCTATCGGGCCCCTATCGGCGACCAACGGGCGACTGGGGGTCGATGCATCCCCCCCTGTGCCTATCCCCGTGCCCGCTGGTTTTCGGGCCATAACTCGGCTCTCCGGCGGCCGTGCATGACGATGCTGGCATCCCCAGAACGCTCTCGGCGAGGCGCAGCTGCTGGGAAGCATCCCGGGGGCCAGAAGACAGCCGAGAACCGACGAGAGCGCCCGAAAACCTCGAGCCTCGAAGCCGAAACTCCCCTGGGCCTCTACCCATCCCGCCCTATGTCCATCCCCTCCCTCCGCCTCCGCCTCCGCCTCCGCCTCCGCCTCCGCCTCCTCCTCCGCCTCCGCCTCCGCCTCCGCCTCCGCCTCCGCCTCCGCCTCCTCCTCCGCCTCCGCCTCCGCCTCCGCCTCCTCCTCCGCCTCCGCCTCCGCCTCCTCCTCCTCCTCCTCCTCCTCCTCCTCCTCCTCCTCTCCCTCCTCTCCCTCCTCTCCCTCCTCCTCGTACGTTCTGCCTCCGGGCCCTCGAGGAAAAATCCTCCTCCTCGTTCACCTCGGGGGCCAGGCCGGCGCCGCCAGTGGGGGGGTAGCCGCGCCTCCGCCGCCCCGTCGTCGCCGAGCCCGCCGATCTCGGACAGGAGAGAGGCGAAGTCGTCCTCCACGGCCTGCCGCCACCGCGGGGTGGGGGGCGATCGGGGACGAGATCTTGGGGCCCTCTGATCGGGCGTTGGCAGAACTGGGTTTAGTGGAGCCTGGTTTACGGATTTGTACCAGGGGCGCCCCCCCGCCCCATTTCCACTAACCGGAACTGCCGTCACCCGAAAAACACCAGATACGGCAAACCTGGTTTAGTGAATCTGGCCAATTGAGGGGCCCCAGGGCCCCAGCCACTAACCGGGTCCCCCTTACCCAGGGTCCTGGCTATACCCGATCTGAGGCCGCCTGGACGCCATCTTGAGCCGTCTTGAGGCCACCCTCGGCCGCATCCTGGCGGCCTCTTCGGCGAGGCCAGGCTGTCTGCGAGGCGCAGGGCCCTCACGGCGGGCCCCCCCTCGGTGGCCCTTCCCGGCTTTGCCACGACTGGCACCTCCCACGCGCTGCTGCCAGCATTGTAGGACAGACTGCACTGGGACCTGGGCCAGAAGAAGCTCCCTCAAGAACATGGCACCCTCCGACGGCCAAAATACACAGAACATTCAAGGGTGCCCTCCCCAGGATGCATAAGAACAGCCGACAACCACGACGAACCTTCAGGCACGCTCCCCGGACCGAGCTCGATTTTTTTCCTCGGTCCGACTGTACGCGTTTTCACCTACGGGGTGGGCATCGGGTACAGAACCACTGGGTCAGGAATCCAGGGTGTGAGCCCTGGTAGAACGTCACTGGAGGCCTGGCCATGGAGATCACCGCCGCGCCCTCGTCAGAGGAAGAATCTTCCAAGGCCCGAGCTCGCCATCGCTCGGACGTCCACTCCCCGATCCTGTTTCGGTTTCGTGCGCCTTTCTCTTCGCAGGATGATCCAAGATGCTCCTCACTGGTCCCCGCCAAGAAAAAAAAACGCACACATCCGAGCGAGGCCAGGTGAATCAAGCCTTCCGGGCACATTCCTTATCCAGCGCTGATTGTTCGAACGTGACCCAACACAGGGCTGGATCTCGTTGTGTGTCCGTTTTTTGTTTTTCGTTTCGTTCCACATGTTTCCTGTGCCTCCCTGCCAAAACGAAAAAAAACAAAGCACAACCGAAATCCAGCAAAACAGCGTTGAGGTCCAGCCCTGACCCAACATGCTCCTCAGTGGTCCCCGCCCAGGAACGCGGGCACTTGAGGTCTCCTAGATGGGCACGGAGTAGATGGGGTCGGAGGATCGCGCCGCATCGCCGATACATCGCCGATGCATCGGCGATGCACCAACGATCTATCGTCGACGTGGGCGATGCATGGGCGACGCCGACGTGAAGCGAAACGCGCTCGACACCAGGCCGCATCGGCGATGCATCGGCGATGCGGCGCGAGCCTCCGACCCCGTCTGCTCGGACCCCACCTGGCAGGCCTAGCGAGGAACGCGCCCGAGCGGTACTGGGCCCACTGCCCCCTGGCCAAGCCTGCCCTGGGACCAGCAGCGGCGGCGTGCGCCACCCGGGCCCCCCGGCTTTTGTGAAGGGGCCCTGGGACACACAAGTACATACGCACTGAAAGTACCCGATGCGATAGGTGCATGTTAACTGGATAATTTCTAGTAGCGGAGCTGGGGGTCCACGGACCTTGCCCGAAAGGGCTGGTAGAAACTCTTTCCTACCTCGAGCGTGAGTTGAGCCAAAACTGGCTCTCCACAGTACACAACTGTCATAATTACAACAACCTCGCAAATTCAACCTCACTCAGAGATTCCATCACCTATCTTCTCATCTCCAGTGTTATATCTCCTGTTTCCTGGACGCACGAATAAAAATATGCCCATACTTTCCCATGTGTTCGGGGTTTTAGTCTTCCCCCCCACCCCCATATTTCCAATATTTTCTGTGGGAATCGACGATTAATTGTGTCTGCGTGTTGTTTCTCCTCCGGCTTCTGGCCGCGAGGGCACGCGCAACGCTCCGCGGGCCCAGGGCTGGGCCCGGCCAGGGGCGGCGGCTGGGCACCCCGACCGCGGCAGCTCCGCGGGCACCTCGCCGGAACTTCGGCGGCGAGCCCAAGGGGGGGAAGTCAGCGGGGGCGGGCCCCGGACGGCCTCCATTCTTCTGAAAAGTTCTCGAAGCCTTCCCCGAAGACGCAGAAGACTACTCAGAAAACCTGCGGGGTTCGGAGAACAGCAAGGAGCCGTGTGCTTTTCGCCAGGGCTGCCTAGGTCCCTTCGCTCCACGAGCTGCGCGGTGACTTCCCGCAGCCGCTGCAGCTGCTGCGTGCAGGGTGCTCCGGGCTTCGCCGCAGGTGCGCCTCGCGCGCGGGTTGTCAGGGCTGGGCTTCCTGCGGGGGTTTCTCGCGGCCGCGCCCGCACTGCGAGCGCGTGAACCTCGTCCGCTCTGCGGGATGCTTGGCTGCGTCCCGAATGCTCGGCAGGGCGCCAACCCCATCATCTCCGCGTCATCGATCTCCGCTTGGGGGTCCCAAGTACCCAGCATCCTCCACGTCGCTGGTTCTGGCTCTCCGCGAACCTCTCCTCACGTTGGAAGAAGGCCCGAGGCCGCAGGGCCTTCGCATCGAGCCAACTGGAACTCCCTCTCCGCCAGCGAGTCGCAGATCTCCACCAGGACTCTCCTCGAGATCCTTCACTGGCACTGCTCGGAGTGCCTCTCCCGGTCGTTGGCTGGCCTCTCGCCCGCGCAGAGGCTGCGGCATTGCCCCCTGCGCCTGCGGTTGGGGGGGGGCGGGGGCTGAATCTCCCGCGCCCCCCCGCGCCCTCCAGCCCCCTCAGCCAGACGCGCGCCTTGTCCAGGTAGGTGGTCGCGTTGGCGCCCCCAGCTAGCGGGGGCGGGATCCGCGCCATCAGAAGGCGCGCCCCTTGGGAAAAGGACATCATTGAGGGCATCGTCCGCCAGCCCACCTTCTTCAGTCGGCGTCCGCCCTAGGCCAGAAGGGGCCCTGTCGAGGGAGCGGCCGCCCAGGGAGTTCCGCTGGTCCCTGTTGTCATCGCGCTGGCTGCCCACGGGCTGCACCTCTGGCCGGCTCTCACGGCTGCGCCGCAGAGCGTGGCGGGGGCCCGTCTCCTCCAGCACCTCTCGCTGGAGGGCGCCATCGCCTTCGTTAGTCAGCTTCCGCCCTTGGCTGGGAGGTGCCCCGTCGAGGGGGCAGCCGCGCAGGGAGTTCCGCTGGTCCCCGCTGTCATCGCGCTGGCTGCCCATGGGCTGCACCTCCGGTAGGCCCTCACGGCTGCGCCGCAGTGCGTGGTAGGCGCTCGTCTCCTCCAGCACCTCTCGCTGGAGGGCACCTTCACCTTCGCGAACATGCTTGCGTACTGTTCCTGCAGGTGCCCTGTGCAGTTCAGGTGGGCCCCCCTCGTCTCAGCGCATGTCCGAACATGGTGTTGCCTTCTTCACGTGCAGCGCGCAGTTGACTCTCTCGCTCACGTGCCCGTTGGTGCAAGGCCGCCATCCTGTGCTCGAATGTGTGGTGGTCCTCCTGCACCATGTCGCCGCCCTTGGGGACGTCGACCTTCGTGTAGGCGCAGCTGGTGACCGTGTCGGTCCTGACTCTCTTGAGCGGGGAGGTGGAGCCGATGAACTACTGCAAAGTTTTGCGCGGTCCTACTCCCTTCTTGAGATGCAAGACATCCAGGCCCTTGATTGTGACCGCCACGCAGGGAAGTCGCAGTTTGATACGACGCCGTTGCTGCGCCCAGGCTCCGCACCCTACGCATATGACGACAGTCTTGACGCTCTCGATGCTGTCTCCAAACAGTGCCCCGCACTGGTTGACCGCCACTAGCTTGTGACCTGGCGGGGTGAGCTGGCACTCCTTGAGGAATCTCGGGGTGCCCCCGCACCCCGTCAGTGGGAGTGGGCTCCTGGTACATGTAGTTGTAGGCAAGCACGGCGCTGCACCCCGAGATCGCCATCATGTCATTGATGGCATGTAGCCTTGCGCGTGCTAGCCGCACGCCGATGTGCTGGGGTTCGCCTCGCCCATCCCAGCTTCGTCCTTATCGAAGATCGGCATCGCGTTCGCCACCAGCCTTGCTACTTTACCGATCCTGCTGACGGCCGCCTCCATGGCCTCGATCATATCATGTCATCATCAGGCTTCGGGTGCATGGATGTCGACGTCTGTGCCCTTGCACCAACAATTAGGTTGGCATCAGTGAGTTGACGCTGCTCGTAATCCATCGCCTCGTAGTCAGTGCCTGACCTGTGCGCCTTCACATGGTGGCACCGCTGGATGCGCTGGAAAGCCTCAAGCGACTGCGCGAATCGAACTACGCACGCGTAGGGCGTCTTTTTGGCGAGCTGCTGCTCCTTCCCCTTGCTGCCCAGCCTGATGACTTCCATGAGGTCGGCGTGGGCTTGGCAAGGGCGGTCAGCGACCTGGGGCGCGAAGGCCGCGCCGAGGTGCCCCCCCATGGCCGAGGGCTGCGGCAGGGATGCTGGGGCAAGCGCATGGATCGAGCAGAGCGGGGTGCTTGATCGCGGGTCGGGGACAACGGTGCTCCAACCTGCACGCTGGAATGTCCGTACAAGCGGCTTGGTGCGGGACCCGTCAATCGCCACTTCCATGCTGCCATCACCGTCGCGCAGGTAGCTCCGCGCCATTGACTCTGGCGCGGCGCAGCTGTCTAGACCTCGGCTATCTAGACTGACACAGCTCAGCCCTGGATCCAGATGCGGGACCGAGGAGGACTGATAGGCGAATGCCCCGTTCAATGCACCCAGGGTCATCCCCATTCCACCAAACTTGCTCCATTAGGTGAGCAGGGACCTCAGCATCTTCACGGGCCTGCAGAACTGCAGGTCGCGTACATTCGAGTAGGCGATGAAGTAGGGTGTCCTGTGCTCCGCATCGGCAGAGCCCCATCGGTGCGGCAACCCGCTTGATGTGCACGAAGCTGCGTCCACGCTCCTTTGCACGCCACATTCATGTTGCAGAAGACCTGGTGGGCCGTGTATCCTCTTGGAGGAGATGGGCGGCTTGAGGATGTAAATGGTCATCCGCATGCCTTCGCCGAGCCCCATCT